ATCCCACTCCACTGTGAGATCTTTTAAAAATAATACTGAATTTTTCATGAATATAATATAATTACTGTAGAAATGTGGGAAATACAGGTTATAAAACTATGGGGAAAACTATAATTGAAATCATAAATACAATCACTACTGATTTTTGCTTTTCTTTGCACATACTATTTCCCTATATAACTTATATTCTGGATAAAATTGTTTTAGAGAATATATTTTTTCACTTGGCATCATTTCATAAGAGTTTTCCCTATGTCATTCAAATTTTCCTAAACATAAATTTAAGAAAGCAAATTGCAAACTACTATAAATAAACAAGTAGAAAAATCTTTGAACCAAGAAATGGTGGAAGCAGAAGCTTTGGGGGAAATAGGGGCCTCAAGATAGTGTGTTTTTAAAATGGGAGGAAAAAAAAACAGCATGTTTTATGCTGCTGAAAAGATAACTGATTACAATGAAATAAGTATAATGAAATCTTTTCTTGAAAAATGTGTGTGTGTGTGTATATGTGTGTAAATATATATACACATATTGGCATTGATAAAAGTCTGGGAGGGTATATATCAAAATGTTAGGAGTATTTATCAGTGTTAGGAAATGCAACATATATATTTTTAATTTTCCATATAATTACTAGGTTTTCTACTGTGAACATATATAACTTATGTAATAAAAAATAAGTTAAAGGATATGGAAGAGACACATTCCTAGCAATTTCAATAGAAAAAATACAATAGAAAAGAAGCTGAACCATTTTTGGGATAAGGAACATTTCTTTTTTTTAAGGATTCATTTATTTATTTTTTGCGAGAGAGTCAAGAGAGGCAGAGGGAGAAAATATTCGAGCAGACTCCCTGCTGAGCACAGAGCCTGATACAGGGCTCAATCTCACTACCCATGATATAATGATCTGAGCTGAAACTAAGAGTTGGACACTTAACTGACTGAGCCACACAGGTGCCCCTAAGGAACAGTTCTAAAGCAACCTATGGATTCAGTTAAAAGTATGATCATGAGAACTATCTCACTGTTCTCTGTTTCCTCCAATGGATGTGCCCAAATCTGGATCCTCTCCAAAACAATAAAGGTGCCTAAGAAATAGAATGTATATCTCCCATAATCATTGTTTTCAATAGGTACCCCTTCTATTCTTTGAGTGTTTCATGAGTATCAACAGTGCTGTTTCACATCTGATTTCTGTATGGATTCAAATACATTCTCCTAAATGGAAAGCATTATCTTTGGTAGTAGTAGTAGTAGTACTAGAATAGCATTTATTATGGACTTACTTAGTAAACTACATTGTGAATCGCACAGGAAAAGTGTGTAAAGAAGTATTAGAAGCTCGTCCTTCAAATCTGGAGGGTAAGCCCTCACTAATGTTATTGCAGAATTAGAAATATTCCTAAACAAACAAAAAGGACTCTCTCACTGTCTTTTCCTGACACAGTGGCCCAGCTTAGAATCCAAGGGTGTAGGCCTGCAGAGTTTTAGCCTTCCTAAGAACATGTGGTATAGGTTTTTTTTTTGGTATAGGTTTTTAAATATCCTATGATTCTAAGGAATATATTAAATTAAATTTTAGTTTTGAGTGGTTAATACAAACATGGGGTTCCAAATTCAAAAAGCACAAAAGTTCACACAGGTAAGTCTTCAAGTCTCCTTCCACTTTCTCTGCAAATAGGTTACCCTTCAAAAAAGGCAAGCACTGTTACCAGTTACTTGTTGATATTAACAGGGATATTCAATGTATACATATATGTAGTAAAGTATCATTAAGCAAATGATGGCACACTAAACATTGCTATGCACCCTATTTTCTTCACTTAAAAATGTGTTTTGGACATCATTCCATATCAGTATACATAGAGAGAGCTGCTCTTTCTTTTTAACAGCTGCATATCACAGCGATATACACCACAATTTTACTATTTATAATTATTTAGAATCTTTCCAATCTTTTACTATTAAAAAATTCTGCAGTGAATATTTTTTTACATATAGTATTTTGCAATGTACAAATATTACATTAGGATAGATTCTTTAAGTATAATTGCTGGTCAATAGTTACGTGCATTTGTGCACTTGTCCCTTGTCTTTTTAATGAATAGTCTTGTCATTTGTTTTTCTACTGGATTGTTGGTCATTATCTTTTCTTTATAAGTTCATAGAGGTTTGCGCTATATTAGGGAGCTTAGTAAGGCATAATTCTAAACATGAATAGAAGATCAAAAAAAGAGGGAATCCCTGGGTGGCTCAGGGGTTTAGCGCCTGCCTTTGGCCCAGGGCATGATCCTGGAGTCCTGGGATGAAGTCCGACATCAGGCTCCCTGCATGCAGCCTGCTTCTCCCTCTGCCTGTGTCTCTGCCTCTCTCTCTCCTCTGCGTCTTTCATGAATAAATAAATAAAATCTTTTTTAAAAAAAGAGGACCAAAAAAGAGTAACAAAGCACCAAATCCAAATTATACGTATCCACCAAATGTTATTACAGTATGAGATATTAAGATACCCCAAGTTTCTTTCTAAAATATATTTTAGTAAACTCTTGCTTCCTCCCTCCTCTATTGAAAAATCACATATAAAGCATCTCCTGTGCGGCAGACTCTAGGCTACGCTCTGGGGTTACAGACATCAAAGACAAAGACATACTTTTAGGCAGGCATTGATCTATAATCAACAGAATATATCGTGGAATTCTCATGAGTCAATGGTCTTCACTTCCTTCGTCTTCCATGTATGACACTGAGAATACAGTGGTGAACAAGACTGAGAAAGTGGCCCTTCCTTCATGGAACTTACAGTCTAATTCAAATTCCCTCCTGACAGTGCTTGGAATGCAAATTCAAAGAATTTTATATATTCAGGGAGAAAGCATATGCATTCATTAGGCAGGTGAGAGAAAAGGAGGCAGGAGAGCAGCTAGGATCTGCCTTGAGAAGTACATGGGTAGTATCCCTTTCCTTAGATAGAAATGTGGAAGAGAAGCCAGACCATCCCTAACTAGTGCCTGACACCTGGCCGTGAGGTGACGGATAGGAAGGATTGCATGACCGGTTTCGATCCTTACAGAGACAGGCCCTTTTTCTTGAGCAACTGTAGGGACCTAGAAATGGCACAGTGTGCTACCATTTCAAGTGAGAAAAAAAGCAGCGTGGCATAAAGAATGACTTGGCACAGATCAGTGGTTTGTTTCTTTGTGTTAGAGGGCAAGGTCTACTTTCCTTTAGAACAGAAACAGTGGTGAGGCCTCCACGGGAACCCCTTCCCACCTTCTTCCCTTCCACGGCCCCATAAGCAATGAAAAAAATTGGGAAGGCCACCCTAGAACCTCCAACATAGGTGGTTTACAGGTACAAGGTTATTTGATGAGTAAGCTTCTTTCATGAGTACAGAGTTGTTACCCTCTTGTGCATGCTCAAGACCATGCATATTTAGGTGCAAGAAATATTGTGGACAGGTGGAGAGGCAGGGCGTGAGAATGGGATAGGTACACACAAGAGTATTTGGAATTAAGATGCTTCTCTCCGTTACTGCTTTCCCCATATCTTTATCCCATTTTGCCTTGACTATTTCAGTACAAGAAACATGGTAGGCAATAAGATGAGAAACTTAGAAGATAGCAATAAAAGCCCATGATGTTTGAGTGATCCCTGGGTGGTGCAGCGGTTTGGCGCCTGTTTTGGCTCAGGGCGCGATCCTGGAGATCCGGGATTGAATCCCATATCGGGCTCCCGGTGCATGGAGCCTGCTTCTCCCTCTGCCTATGTCTCTGCCTCTCTCTCTGTGACTATCATAAATAAATAAATTTAAAAAAATTAAAAAAAATCAAAAAAAGCCCATGATGTTTGATATTGTTCAGCAAGTCAGACCAGAGTAGTCTTCCAGACGCCAAGCCCACAGTATCCCATTTTGTGCAGAGAATTAAGTCCTTGGCGCTTCAGCTTGAGGTGTCTTCTCTCATTGACGGCTTTTGGAATAGATTAGAATGTACCCTCTTCCCTCAGTCTTGAGCCTCTTTGTCAACCCTCTCATCCCCTCCCCCAACCCGCCTCTTTAGGTGGACCTAGGACTTTGGAAAGTGTGTAAGACACTGAGGTGTCCTTCCGCATGGTCGGGGCAGAGCGGAGTCAGCGACGCCACCGCCTGATAATCCACATGCGCTTCAGTTCAAGAAAAAAAAAAGTGTTGGCTTGGTTGGGGGAAGATCCTGAAAGAAGGGAACTAATGCTGAGACCCTTTAGTGTTGGTCTGCTTCTCTCAGTATCGCGCCGCTTGTTCTACGTTCAGATTGCCGCTCCAGCTCTTACCAGGATGAGAAAAGGCTAGAGTTGAGCTCACCGACAGAGGGCGCAGTGGCGCTATACAAAGCTTAGTATCACTCCGCTTCTGTAAGGCCGGATCGCCTTACACAACTCTCCAGAGACTGCGGCTGCGGATATGGGTACGGGGACGTGGCAAAGCAAAGTCTGCGGAGGAGAAGGTAGCTGTTAATTAGTCACTAGACGTGGGTATCCGAGGAGCTTTGGGTAGGGGAGGAAGGGAATACCAAAAAGTGGCAATTGTTTGCCAGTTACGGCCCTTAATATGACAAAGCAGGTTTCACGTCCGAAATCCCAGGTGCCGGGCCAATCCCCAAACACAGTCGCCGCCATTGTCTCGAGTCCTCGTGTCCAGCTGACTGTCCGTCCCTCTTTCTGTAGGGCACAGCACCCCCTGAGGCAAGGAAATAAGAGAACTGCCTCTGATCCAAGCAGAGCAGGTCAGTGAGAAGGCGGGCATCTCTTGGGAGTGTGGATATGGGTATCAGAGAGAAATCTGGGAAAAGTGATCTATCTGGTCGTGGGGCGCGGGCGGTGAAAGGGAGAGGGGGATGGGTAATTTGAGTGGCACGCAACTATAAATTTAAAATGATCTTGCTAGCTTGATTTCCAGACACTAACTCCACCTCCGACCGTATTTGGGAAGGTAAAGGAGTATAGTAGCGGCTTCTAGCGGAGAAATGGCGGTTTGTATAATAGAAGGAGGGGTTGTTGCTGTAAGTGAGCGTGGTTGTCGGGAACCCTGGGAGGGAGAGTGTAAAAAGAAGTTTCAAGTGTTTGATAATCAAGGCCCTGGATTAGAAAATGGTCTCATGTCCTGGTACTAGTCTGACCATTAATAACCAAGTCTCTCTCACTGCCTTTTTGTTTGGTCTTTGGGTGTGTATCATGCGTTTACATATTTAGGTCTGTTCCGAAGTTTTCGGTACAGATGTTTTTGTAAAGATCTGTAGAGGGCCTTGGACCTCAGAGGGAGGGGATAAGAAAAGGACGCTTGGCCTAATTTCTGTGGAGTGGGCAGTGTTTGGAGTTGGTAGATGGCTAAGACTAGAACAGGCAGGAATCTAGGTGAAACTCCAGATCTCCTTTCTACATGCTTTGTAAACAGTCCTCCCTTACTCCTGCTGTGTTGCAGAAAATGATAGGCTTTAGGGAGAGGAAGGAAACAAATGCTTAGATGAAATTTGGAGATAATACTTTTCATTTATTTGCAGCCAATTTCCATGGCTTGTCTGAGCATTCCATCTCTACTACCACCATCACTATCTTGTTAGGGATGTTGGAGTTGTCTGTGTAGGGGAATTGTCAGACTTTAGGAGTGGAGCAGAGGAACATGAAGGGAGAGGGAGGAAGAAAGGGACACAGAAAATTTTGGCAAACAGGTACCTGTCTCCAGAAAGGATAGGTGTCCCAGGTGCCGATCTCTCCTAAGGAATTAGTCTCCATTGTCTCATGTGTCTTCATTTACTTATCACCACATTTGTGACTCTCTGGATATGGACCCATCTCCAGGTCTGTGGAACTCTGTTGTGAAGGTTTACAAATGGTAACCCAGCTTGAACCTAGGAAATAATGAAAAGAAACATGCCCTGTATCTGTTAACGATTGGTGTGAGGGTAGACAGGAGAAGATTGAGACTAGGGAATTCTATTCTCTTTTGTTTTGCCAGTTTACTAACCTCTCTTTGGTTCCCTGCTGATTTAGATAGGAGTCTTTGAAAGCTTTGGGAGTACAGAAGGGTAACACTTGTTTTTCTGATTTCCCACTTGGTTTTCCTATTTTTATGCTTCACCTAAGCCAATTTTAAACTAGAGAAATGAAAGGACAGTCACTGAATAGTAAAATGGTGGGCAACAGGGAGAAGGAGGATCAGTCCTGAATTAGGGCGATGGTGGTATGGGACCAGAAGGAGGGAAACATTACACAAACTACAAATACAGGGACTAGACCAAGGACCAAGATCTTTCTACCATGAGGTCAGTGTCCATATCTTCTGATTTGTTTATTTGTCCATTGATCTGCCTGTAGGTCTGCCATAGGGCTTGTCAACATCGGAAGCAAGGAAAGGAGGAGAAAATTACTCCAGATCAGTGAAGTTTGGTATGAATATGGAGACTTCCTCAGTAGACGTGTAGGATGAAGTAGTAGTCCAGCAGGGATAAAGAGTCAGTCTAGGGATTCCTTAGTCTCTCTCATTCCCATTAAGCTTTCCCACTCCATACTCCTGTTTTGTGTCTAGAAAGAAAATTAGTAGCACCTGAAGTTTTGTAGAGAGTGTGAAATGAGGAGAGAGAGAGTTTGATAATTATCTACCTCTCCCACTTGGCCCTGAATGTTCATACTCTCCTGTCTCTCTGTGCTAATCAGCATAAGAAATACATTGGAAGAGACTCAAAGCCCCATTTCCTTCCTCCACTCCTAGGTCCAACTTCAGTGGCAGATCTGGTGGCCTTGGAGTGGCTGAAGACCACCACCCTCCACAGGGCTGCGCTCAGGCACAAAGCCATTCTTCCCTTCCCTGAGTGAGCTTCCTCTGCACGTTGTTTATATCATTGGCAGAGCTTGTAGGTGGAAAGGGGGCTGAGTGACGAATGGACTTTGTATGAAAACACCAACCTGGGACAGACCTTCAGTGAAGGCTGAGACGGGGTTGGGGTATATAACTTGGCCTTGCCTTTAACTTGGATCATGACTGGCTCTGAGGCTGAGGCAGGGGCAGAGCAGGTGCTGGGACTGCCCTAAAAGCTGGAATCAGTAGCCCTGCCAACCCTAGAGCCAAGGCTAGGATCCAGGCCAAGGCAGTGGGTGAGGCAGAACTGGAAACAGGAACAGTGACCCAGGCCAAGGCTGGGGATGGAGCAGTGGCCAGGACACAGACAGTGACCTGCACTGAGGCCGTGGCTGTGACAAGGGATGTGGGCAAGATGGAAACTATGACTAAGAATAGAGTCATGACTGAGACTAAGGCAAAATCCGTGGCAGAACCAGGTATAGTGCTCCAAACCAAGTCAAAGGTGATGCCTATGGCCAGGGTCAGTGCAGTGACCAAGTGTGAAGTCAAGCCTGCTGCTGGAAGTAAAACTGCTATCAGGTCCTTTGCCAAGGCTGATGATAAGGCCAGTATTGAGTCCAGGCCCGAGAGAAAGAGAGAGGACGACATCAAATTCAGGGCTGAGGCTGGGGACAGAGCTGGTATTATAATCGAGTCCAGTGATGAGGATGAAGAAAATGTCTGCTCCTGGTTCTGGACCGGAGAAGAGCCTAGTGTAGGATCCTGGTTCTGGCCTGAAGAGGAGACTCCTTCTCAAGTTTATAAGCCTCCACCTAAGATCCAGGAAAAGCCCAAGCCCATACCCAAACCTGAACTCACCATAAAGCAAAAAGCAGCAGCGTGGTCAAGGGCCAGGTATAGTGTCCTAGTCCCAATAGAGGGAGGGGAGCGATCCTTGCCTCCAGAAGGGAATTGGACTCTGGTTGAGACCTTGATTGAAACTCCTCTGGGAATTCGGCCTCTGACCAAGATCCCACCCTATAAAGGGCCCTACTTCCAAACCTTAGCTGAGATAAAAAACCAAGTTAAGTATAGGGAAAAGTATGGGCCCAATCCAAGAGCCTGCCGCTGTAAATCACGTGACTTTAGTTTGGAGCCTAAAGAGTTTGATAAACTCGTTGCCCTACTTAAGTTAACTAAGGATCCTTTTATTCATGAAATAGCTACTATGATAATGGGCATCAGTCCTGCTTATCCATTTACCCAAGATATAATTCATGATGTAGGTATTACTGTTATGATTGAAAACTTGGTCAGTAATCCCAATGTTACAGAACACCCTAGAGCTTTAAATATGGTAGATGATAACTCTGAGTCTTCTGAAGAACGAAAACCGGCAGAGTCATACATACATCAAGTTTGTAAGGACATAATCTCTTATCCATTGAACTCCCCTGTGCAACTGGCTGGACTAAAATTATTAGTGCACCTGAGTGTGAAATTTGAGGATCACCATATAATTGCAAATTACATTCCAGATTTCCTTACTTTGTTAAACAATGGAAGTGTCAAAACTAAGTTTTATGTTTTAAAAGTCTTCTTGCGCTTGTCTAAAAATCAAGCCAATACAAGAGAACTGATTAGTGCCAAAGTACTATCATCATTGGTCGCACCCTTTAACAAGAATGAGTCAAAGGCCAATATTCTTAGTATCATTGAAATATTTGAGAATATAAATTTCCAATTCAAAAAGAAGGCGAAGCTGTTTACTAAGGAAGAGTTCACTAAATCTGAGCTTATTTCCATATTCCAGGAAGCAAAAGAGTTTGGTCAGAAACTCCAAGACTTAGCAGAGCACAGTGATCCTGAGGTGAGAGATAAAGTTATACGATTAATACTCAAACTCTGAATAGCTGTATGTTCTCACAAAACCGTGAACAATTTTTTTGGTGTTGTAATATGAAGCCATGCATATTATAATTGTAAGTTAAATATTTATGTTATTTCTATTGATTGAAGGAAGCGATTTTATGGATACCAAATGATCTTGAGAGCTTTGAGTGTTTGTTGATTTTTATTGTGCTATATAAATTGAGATATTTTTAGTATTTCTGCAACATTACCTGATAATGAATCTATTCATCCTGAGTAGCTATATTTCTGTGCTTTATATTGACATAAGTGTATTCATTTGAGACTTTATTTACATGTTAATAAAGTTATACGCTAAAACTGATGAAAACATTGTCGTAGTTCTTCAGTTGAAGTCTAGTTAGAGGGATCCCTGGGTGGCGCAGCGGTTTAGCGCCTGCCTTTGGCCCAGGGCAGGATCCTGGAGACCCGGGATCGAATCCCACGTCGGGCTCCCGGTGCATGGAGCCTGCTTCTCCCTCTGCCTATGTCTCTGCCTCCCTCTCTCTCTGTGTGACTATCATAAATAAATAAAAATTAAAAACAAAACAAAAAAACATTATGAAGTCTAGTTAGAAGGATAAAGCACAATTACCACAAAGATGATAAAGAGTACTGTCTGTGTGTGTGGGAGGGAGGGTACAAACAAAATAGGTTCACATAGATCCTGTAGTTTCAGTGTGTTCAAGGAATGGAATCACTCAATACCATGAGAGAGGACTATGCTACTAGATGACATTCTGGGCTCATCTGGGGAAGGGGGTGAGGACACAGTCCTAGGAGAAAGGGAACATATATACTTTCATTCCAGTCTGAGTCCCAGAACCTCTGTTCACCCTTTAACATAGGATATCTCATCAGGATACCTTGAAGCTTTTTAAGTCCCAGGAGGATTCCTGGTTCTCACCCCCATTCAGCAAAGACATGGGAGTATGATTCTGAAAGGATCCAGCCCTACCATGCCCTCAAACTCCAGGTACCCCCATCAAGGTACCAGGTTTACTGCTTCATCCCCTGTAGTCCTGGGCCTTAAAGAAAGGTCTTCCTGGAGACCAACTACAAAAACTGCTTCATGGATAGTCTCATTTGTCCTGTCTTGGTGACTGTTTACTCTCATCCTTGCTTTTATTTGCTTGCCAGTACTTTGGGCTTGGCACTTTGCACCTATCCTGGTGGCAGCACCTTGTTTGTGCTGACCCCTTTTGGTCAGATTTCAGCAAGCTGAGCTCAGTGAGATGGCTATAGGATTCCAAAGTCCTTTAGGGATGTGTGGTTAGGAAGAAATTAATTCCCCTAGTTCCATTATCCTATCTATTGGTGCAGGTTACAGAGCTGAAGCCTTGTCTGTACTGCTTCAGCTCCTCCTGTCTATACTTAATGAAAGCTAGGTTCTGGCTGGGGGTTACTGGCATAGATTTCAGAGTATAGATTGGGATCTGGGATCATCTCTGCCTCCTTTTCTGTTATTGTTCTCTTTCCTTTACTACCAAGAATTGAGAAATATAGATATTAGGATCAGTGTACAAATACTAGTCTTTCTTTTATTTAAACTTCCTCTTGTTCCTAGTTTATGTTTTTGATGGGAGACCTAAACTGAAAAACTTGAACAAGGTTTCATATACTCCTAGTTTTAGAAGCCATGCCTAGTTTAATTTCCATTAAGGTCAGTTCTGAACTCATCTTTTATACACTTAGGAATTGGAATGAAGGATAACTGGCCACACATGTACATTAAGTGTGAAAAAAGTAGGGCTTTTGCAATGTGTAATTGCAGCTTAGATTTTTGAAGTTCTTTGTAATTTTTTTTAAGTAGGCTCCATTAAGCATTGAGTCCAACACAGGGCTTGAACTCACAACCCTGAAATCAAGACCAGAGCTAAGATCTAGAGTCAGATGCTTAACCTATTGAGCCACCCAGGCGCTTGTTTATAATTTGTTTTTTAATCCCCTGGAATTCCAAATATGTGTACTAATTTCAGAGTTGGGGTTGTCACAATACAATTGGACCAGGCCCTTTGGAAATACTCTGTATCTCAAATGCCCTATGGAGCACACAATCAGTTGATATCTATGGAATTTTCCATCAGCTAAAGAGTGGGGTATGCAGCTATTTGTTTCAAAGCAAGAAGCTGATGGTTTCTCCTTGGGTGGGAATTAGGGGAGACATTCATTTCCTAAATTGTTCCTGGGGTGTGCTTGAAGTCAAAACCCTATTGCTCATCCCTTGTTTCACTCCTTTCCTGGAAAAATAATTCAGGCAACTCCATGTAGTATCAGGGCTGATCTGATACTACTTCTAAAATGTTGCTGCCTGGGAGTAAAAATCAGGTTGGATTTCTCATCTTCCTGTTATGAAGTGATCTTCCTACAGCACAGCTGGACTGTTAGCACACACTGACACTGTCTACCATACCCTCAATTTTAAAAGAGGACTTTTCTATGGGAATTCATCTATACAATATCACCAAATTCCCCAGTAAGACTTTCAGAGCTCTGTATCCTTCAGCACCTTTCTATTTTTCCCATTATATCCCACCATGTGGCCTACATTCAAACCACAATGGGCCAATGTTTCCATACTTTTAATGCACTTTCCTGCTTTTGTTTGTTTGCTTAGGCCAACTGCAATGCTTTTACAAACCTTTTTTTTTTTTCTTTTTTTGCTTTTGGGCATACTACTCATTCCTTTTAAGGTCAGCTCAAATGCAAAGTTGTTTTGAAGTCTTCCCTGAGGTGCTTATCCTCCTTGTGTCCATGTTGGAATTAATAGCCCCTTCTGCATTTCCAAAGTTTTTTATTTACTCCTTTATTTTAGCATTTGTGTCTTTATATTGTGCCTTGGAATCTTCTTAGTAAGTTGGAGCTTGTATTTAGAGTCAGCATAGAGGGGGAAGCTTGGGCTTTGAGAATGTCTGAATTTCAAAGCCTGAACTTTTTATTATGTATAGTAATAATAATTATTAATACTTATACATTCATTAAGTGTTTACTGTGTGCCAGATACCATCCTATGTGCTTTACTTGTACTAACTCATTTAAATTCTAAAACATCCCTATGGAGTAGGTCCCCCTATCCACATTTTACATGGAGAAAGCTGATATACTGATTGGTTAACTAACTTGCCCAAGTTCATTGAGTTGGTTAGCAGCAGAGCTGAGATTCAAACCTTTGCAGTCTGAGTCTGGAGCCAGCATATGTACCCACTTTGTAACTCCATAACCCCACATAGCTCTTAGTAATGTACATGGCCCGTCTCAAACTTAAGTTTGAGTGATGTAAGACTGCACAGGTCCCTTATCTCTTCTGCTTTGTTCCTGTAGGACACCTCCCGGCTTTATCTTCATTCCCTACCCAACTAAGCATTTATGGTCCATCATTTTCAACATGTTTTTAAGTACTTTTTAGCGTGGTAAAATACATATAACATGAAAATTGCCATTTTAATGACTTTTATGTGCACAATTCAGTGACGTTAATTGCATTCACAATGTTGTGCAGCCATCAGTACTATCTATTTCCAAACTTTTTCATCACCCAAAAGAGAAACTATATAAACCATTAAGCAGTAACTCTCAATTCTCTCCTCCCTTCAGCCCCTGGTAATTCCTAATCTACTTTCTGTATCCATGAAAATGCCTATTCTGAATATTTCTTTTATATATAAATATATTTTTATTGAAGTTCAGTTTGCCAACATATAGTATAATGCCCAGTGCTCATGCCATCAAGTCCCCTCCTCAGTGCCCGTCATCCAGTCACCCCATACCCCCACCCGCCTCCCCTTCCACTACCCATTGTTCATTTCCCTGAATATTTATTATAGGTAGAATCATATGATTTTGTTCTTTTGTGTCTGGTTTATTTCATTTAGCATGTTTTTAGTGTTTATCCATGTTCAGGCACCTGGGTGGCTCAGTCAGTTAATCATCTGTCTTAGCTCAGGTCATGATCCTAGGGCCCTGGGATTGAGCCCCGAGTGGCGGGGGTGTTGGCTCCGTCCCTCAGCACAGAGTCTGCTTCTCCCTCTCCCTCTGCCCCTCCCCCTTTCCCATGTGTACACTCTCTCTCCAAAAATAAAGTTTATCCATGTTGTAGCATGTATTAGAACTTTATTCCTTTTTTGTGCCTGAGTATTCCACTGTGTGTGTGTGTCTGCATATCTGTGTATCTGTGTGTGTGCACCAAATTTTGTATATACTTTATCTGTTGATGGGCACTTAAGTTGTTTCCACTTATTGGCTATTATAAATAATACTGCAGTGAACATTGGTGAACAAGTATCTGTTTGAATCTCTTCTTTCAAAATTTTTATTTTTATTATTTTTTTAAAGATTTTATTTTATTTATTCATGAGAGACACAGAGAGAGAGAGGCAGAGACACAGGCAGAGAGAGAAGCAGGCCCCATGTAGGGAGCCCAATATGGGACTTGATCCCAGGACTCCAGGACCACACCCTGGGCCGAAGGCAGGTACTAAACCGCTGAGCCATCCAGGGATCCCCTGCTTTCAAAATTTTTAAATATAAACCTAGAACTAGAATTTCTGAGCCATATAATAATTTTATGTTAAGCAATTTGAGGAACTACCCAATTTTTCCACCGCAGCTGCACCATTTAACAATTCCATTAGCAACAGCAGGGGTTCTAGTTTATCTACATCCTTAGCAATACTTGTTATTTTACATTTTTAGTAGCTATCCTAGTAGGTATGAAGTACAATTTCATGGTAGTTTTCATTTGCATTTCCCTAATGACTAATGGTGTTGGGCATTTTTTCATGTGTTTATTGGCTATTTGCATATCTTCTTTGGAGTAATGTCTAGTCAAGTTCTCTGCCTATTTTTAAATTGAGTTGTTTTGTTGTTATATTGTAGTACTTTATATATTAAGGATACAAGTCACTTATTAGCTATATGATGTCGTGGCCGGCGCGAGAAGGTCCGGATTCAGGAACCGAG